CTTTACTAATTAACAGCAAACCTTATTTAAAGACAAAGTTCTCGATTTAATTTAGCCTTTTTTATGACTTTGTTGTTGTTGTTGTTGTTGTAAAACAATCCTTCATAATTTATTAGTGCACAAAGTAAGGTAAACGAAAAGGGGAAGGTGCATCCATCCATTTTCTTCCCCTTAATCCATTTCTGGGTCGGGGGAGTGGCAGTCAGACCTGCACCCAATTCACATAGCACCAGCCCCTCAAAGGAGAAGGTGCACATTATTAATCCTTGTAGGGCAATTCATTCTCTGCATTTGACCCATCATGATGCCACTAAGGCTTACGTCAGGAGCAGTGGTCGCCGTTGTAACTGCGCCCGAGGACCCATCTACAGATGTTGATGCTGAGCTTAGTCAGGACTTCCATGAGCTGGAGGATTTACCTAGTGTACGTGTTTTTAGTGCAAGAGGAAACCTATGCAGGCACTGGGAGACAGAGATGGGGACTCGCGAGTCGGACTCGACTTAGTCCGACTTAAGTCGCTATTATTAGAGACTTGGGACTTGACTCGGACTCGTTGTTTTCGGACTTGTGAACATTGCAAGTCCTGACGCTCCAGATCCATCCATTTCACGGGCTGGTAAGGGTTCGCTCTCTTTGGCTGTGCGTGCTCTTTGGCCACGATTACGGGTCTTGATTGTGTGCACGCGTTGGCTCATCACTTTTTGCATCAGTTGTGTCTGAGCTGTGAGTCGCTCTGAGCCGCGGCAGCGCGCAGCCGGTCATAATGTTCCCAGGACCATACACGCGCATATAGGACCATTCTCTGCTTGTTATGTGCGTGTCTTTATACACCTCTGCAATAAACAGAGCTGGATGATAGAGCCTCCTGACGTTCCATGTCTCCCCATGTCTCCTCCTAAAATTAAAGCTGGGGTACGTACATTTTCCCTCGCTTTAACAGCTCATGTTGGTTGTGCCAACAGTAAAATGCTGTGAACAAACAAACAGATTTAATGACAGCCATTGGCTGGAATTAGGTATTTCAGACTTTTTTGAAATGTCCCATTGTCATCCCAGTAACAAACATTAGTTTTGGTCTGTGCTCTCACTGTAGTGACATGTTTGTAACTCTGTAATGTAGACTATTGCATTTTAATTGTTGAAACTGCACACATCCTCTACAGTGTGTGCTTCTGCATAACGTATAAATAAACGTTAAAAAAAATTGTGACAGCAAACCGAGTTGTTGAGGAGGCAAAAATCCCGGAGTTGTTTTTGTGGCAGTACAGTAGAATTAATTCATATATTTTAGTCCATTTTAAATGGTATTGGCCATAATTTTAATGCGTAGGAAATGAGACTTGGACATGCGGGTCCAGGGACTTGGACTTGACTTGGACTTGCGGGTCAGAGACTTGTGTGCATCTCTGCTGGGAGAACATGCAAACTCGACTCAGAAAGACCCTGTTCCGTCAGGGATTCAAACCCAGGACCTTCTTGCTGAGAAGCGAGAGTGCCATCTACCGTATAGACATTTTTATATTTACTCTATCCTTTGTGGAGCTACTTTAAAGAGAAAGTAGAGCTACTGGTGGCTCCTGAGCTGCCCATGGCATAGATGCTGTTAAAAGCCAGGTACAGATGCATGAGGCAAGGCTACTTTCTCTCATCAGTTTCCACTTGGAGGACTCTAAACCACTAATCAGTGAAATGTCAGGGCTCGGCGTATGCGTGGTACACGTGCAACACTTCAGGAGTCGCAGGAAGCCGAGGCAAGAGAAAGGATTATGGAACACACATACACACACACACACACACACACACACACACACACTGACGGACTGGGTGGGATCAACGTCACCGGTCTCTTCAAAGGTGTTTTATAACGAGGGGAATAGAAGCCACAGGAGGCGACGTCGTCAAGGTGCAATCAGAAAGTTCAGTGGAATCTATAATTTAGATGATTTAAAGGTTTGCATGTAGGTTTGTTCTGTTTTTGTCCCAATAAAAAGAGTCTGAAGAAAAAACATTTACAAATCAAAAAAAACTTTTGAGTTGTGCAATAAAAGTTTCTTTGAAAGGACAATGTTATTTTTAATTTAATTTATTATTATCAAATATGTACATCTACGTGTTTGAGAGGGACCAAAGAGAGACTCTGGAGAGAAATCAGAGAGAACAGAGAGAACAGAAAGACAACAGAAGGAGACCAGAGACAGAGAGAGAGACCAAAGAGATAGAACAGAGAGAGAAAGTGAGCAGATGGAGAGATCTGAGGGAACATAAACTAAATAGAAACGTGCCACAGTGGAGTAAATAGAACACTATTTGCGAGATCAATAATGTGTGTCTAGGTCTCAGTGAGTGGTGCTCTCCGCCTCATGCTGTGGTGCTTTCAGTCTCTCTCTCTCTCTCTCTCTCTCTTTCTCTGTTTCTCTCTCTCTCCCTCTATGTTTCTCTCTATGGGCAAAGACCCCCACAGCTGCACAGTGGAAAATGACCAAAAATACATTTGAGAAGTATCCGTCAGAGCAGCTGCTGGACGTGGAAACAAGTTATATATACATAAACACTCAAACTGCTCCCAAAATATTGGATTTACCAACAAGCGATTAAATATAGAGCAGTGTGTGTAAAGATGTGTATATTGTGTGAAAAGAGAAAATTCACACACATATACTAATGCGTGCTAATTATTGGATTTCTTAAGGTTAACATGGATTGGATTGGTCTGATAGATGCTGCAAGGGATATTTTTCGGATTATAATTAACAGTGAAGATGAAAATAAAATACAGAGGGAGAGAGAGAGAACACAGAGAGATGTCAGAGGGACCAGAGAGACCTCACTCGCAGCAGTGGTTGATGGTGAAATGTGTCTGGAGAGTATTTGCCGAGCATCAGTCACCTGTCAAAGCCAGTTTCCTGTTGGTTTCCTGTGACTCTATGCAACCCAATGATCTCTGGTCTCTCTCGATCTCTCTCAGATCTCTCTCTGGTCTCTCTCTGGTCTCTCTCTGGTCTCTCTCTGGTCTCTCTCTGGTCTCTCTCTGGTCTCTCTCTGGTCTCTCTCTGGTCTCTCTCTGGTCTCTCTCTGGTCTTTCTCTGGTCTCTCTCTGGTCTTTCTCTGATCTCTCTCTCTGTAGCTAAAGTAACAGAAGTCACATCGGGTCAGGATACAGCGTTGATGGCTTCTTAATCACAGAGCAGACAGACGGTAGATTGCTTTTATTCCTTCATGAACTTCAGTCCATTCAGAATCTCTCGTTCCCCTTTCTGTCCTTAATAACAGCAGCTTACGGCGTCACTGACCTTTCGTCTTGGACAAGCCACTCGTCCTCACCTTTATAAACCCAAATCAATGCTTTTCACCAAAACCTCTGCTACTTTTATGTGCGAACAAGATATGACGTGTGTGTTCACTCCCACCTCTGCTGCTAATATCAAAAAGATTTGCGTGTTAAAGGGGATTTTTTTACAAACAGAACTAAAATTGGAAAGAAAACAGGGATGACATCTTTCGGACAACGAAAATTGTGGGAGAGAAATGCGGCTTTATTGACAGCTTTGAAGTTGAGCATTATCCATTTGGTCTCTGGTGTCTCGTCTCCCTTGGGTCTCTCTGTTCTCTCTCAAATTTCTCTCTGGTCTCTCTCTTGCTGGCGTCCCTCTGGTCTCTTTCTGGTATCTCGCTGGTCTCTTTTTTGTCTCTCTCTGCTCTCTCTCTTGTCTCTTTTCGGTCTCACTCTTGTTTCTCTCATTGGTCCCTCTCTTCTCTCTCTCTGCTCTCTCTTTGGTCTCTTTCTGGTTTCTCCCTGGTATCCAAAAGCTTTGCAGATTAAAGGACACATGTTTTCTTAAATTCAAATTGGAAGATAACAGGGACAACAGCAAACGTGGTTGGAGTTAAGTTGAGCCCTAAAGGCTTAAGAAAATGTCACCTGGTTTTTACTCATGTCACATTCTAATCCATGGAGCACTTTCTAATCTCCAACAGCCATTGCATTCAATTAAAAGACGCAATATTATGCATAGCTTCTGGATCTTAAACATGATCTTGAGACCATATGGTTTCATGATTTATAATAATATTAATAATGTATCAGATTTTTCCCCAGAGGTCTCTCATCACACCACTAACCAGGCCCTGTCCTACTTAGCTTCAGACATCTGACGGGATCTGGCTTTCACCTGCAAGTGACTCTTTCTTATGCAAAATATAAAAAAAATTCTAATGAGAAAAAGACATTTGTTATGATATGTTCAAAAAAGGTTCAAGACTTTCTATTGGTCCTGTGTCTCTCTCTGATACATCTTTGCTCTCTCTCTGGTCTCTCTTTGCTCTCTCTCTGGTCTCTCTTTGCTCTCTCTCTGGTTTCTCTCACTGGTCTTTGATGTCTCTCTGTTCTCTCTCTAACCTTTCTATAGTCTCTCTCTGCGTTCCCTCTCTCTGCTCTCTCTAACTGCAGAAATCTCACTGACATCACAAAACTACTTTCTGGTAAATCTCTGCCCTCTCTCTCCTCTCTCTCTTCTCTCAACCATCTCTGTGTTCTCTCTTCTTTCTCCTCTCTGTCTCCTATCTCGTCTCTCTCTCCTCTGTCTGCTCTCTCTCCTCTCTTCTTCTCTCGGCTCTGTCTCCTCTGCATCTTCTCTCTCCTCTGTCTCTCTCCTCTGCCTCCTCTCGGGGGCGGCACGGTGGCTGAGTGGATAGCACGCTCGCCTCTCAGCAAGAAGGTCCTGGGTTCAAATCCCGGTCGGACCAGGGCCTTTCTGAGTGGAGTTTGCATGTTCTCCCCGTGTCTGCGTAGGTTTCCTCCGGGTACTCCGGTTTCCCCTACCACTAAAAATATGCACAATAGGTCTGGCATGCGCCTCCTGTTCGGCGACCCCGCTCCCATCTCTGTCTGGAGTGAGAGGACAAGTGCCCAAAAAAATAATAACAATTGTAAACCGCTTTGTGACCCTTGTCTGTGAAAGGCGGTATATAAATAAACATTACTTACTACTTACTTACTTACTTACTCTCTCTCTGTCTCCTCTGTCTCCTCTCTCTCCTCTGTCTCCTCTCTCCTCTGCATCTTCTCTCTCCTCTGTCTCTCTCCTCTGCCTCTTCTCTCTCTCTCCTCTGTCTCCTCTCTCTCCTCTGTCTTCGTTCTCTCCTCTGCCTCTTCTCTCTCCTCTGCCTCTTCTCTCTCCTCTGTCTCTCTCCTCTGCCTCCTCTCTCTCTGTCTCCTCTGTCTCCTCTGTCTCCTCTCTCTCCTCTGTCTTCGTTCTCTCCTCTGCCTCTTCTCTCTCCTCTGTCTCCTCTCTCTCCTCTGTCTCTTCTCTCCTTCTCTCCTCTGCCTCTTCTCTCTCCTCTCTCTCCTCTGTCTCTTCTCTCCTTCTCTCCTCTGCCTCTTCTCTCTCCTCTGTCTCCTCTCTCTCCTCTGTCTCTTCTCTCCTTCTCTCCTCTGCCTCTTCTCTCTCCTCTGTCTCCTCTCTCTCCTCTGTCTCTTCTCTCCTTCTCTCCTCTGCCTCTTCTCTCTCCTCTGTCTCCTCTCTCTCCTCTGTCTCTTCCTCCTTCTCTCCTCTGCCTCTTCTCTCTCCTCTGTCTTCTCTCTCTCCTCTGTCTCTTCTCTCCTTCTCTCCTCTCTCTCCTCTGCCTCTTCTCTCTCCTCTGTCTCCTCTCTCTCCTCTGCCTCTTCTCTCTCCTCTGTCTCCTCTCTCTCCTCTGTCTCTTCTCTCCCTCTCTCCTCTGCCTCCTCTCTCTCTCTGTCTCCTCTCTCTCTCTGTCTCCTCTCTCCTCTGCCTCTTCTCTCTCTCTCTCTCCTCTGCCTCCTCTCTCTCTCTGTCTCCTCTCTCCTCTGCCTCTTCTCTCTCTCTCCTCTGTCTCCTCTTTCTCCTCTGTCTCCTCTGTCTCCTCTCTCACCTCTGTCTTCGTTCTCTCCTCTGCCTCTTCTCTCTCCTCTGTCTCCTCTCTCTCCTCTGTCTTCCTTCTCTCCTCTGCCTCTTCTCTCTCCTCTGTCTTCTCTCTCTCCTCTGTCTCTTCTCTCCTTCTCTCCTCTGCCTCTTCTCTCTCCTCTGTCTTCTCTCTGTGGTCTGTGAGTTCTGCTTGGGTTTTTTTTCTTCCACACACAGATTTTCCGTCCGCGGTGAGATGGGCACAGACAAAGGAGCACGATTCCCTCCTTTTGGCCTTGGGTACATCTGGTTGTGTTTATCACCTGGTCAGAGGCAGGGAAGCGGCGGGGGAGGGGGAGACCAGGGCAATGCCAGTTCACATCCGCCAGCAAGAACAAATACTCCAGCTTTGGCCATGACTTTTGACACCGCGAGCCAAAGACACGTTACAGAGAAACATTTTTATTAAGAAGTCAGTGGTTTATTCTCCATGAAGCTGGGAACACTGCAGTAACCACAACATTCTGTATGAGACTGAACCAGGACTGGACCAGGTCTGAACCAGGATTGAGCCAAGACTGAACCAGGTTTGAACCAGGTTTGAACCAGGACTGAACCAGGACTGAACCAGGAGTGAACCAGGACAGAACCAGGGCTGAACCAGGACTAAACAAGGACAGGACTAAACCAAGTTTGAAACAGGTCTGGCCCAGTTCTAAACCAGGTCTTAAGCAGGACTAAACCAGGTCTGAAACAGGTCTGAACCAGGACTTAACCAGGACTGAGCAGGGACTGGGCTCTTCCTACCTCCCTGCAGCCTTGGCAAGCGATAAATTCAAATAAACATCCTGATTATTAAGACATATTACATTATAATAACGTTAAAAACACGTAACATCGATCCCATATGAACGGCTATTGTCAGGTGGAACCTATGGAAGCGTTTGTTGAGTCCACTGGCACAATATAAAATCTCTTGAATAATTCTTTATTTCCTTTAATTCAATTTGTCTTCAATGAAAATTACCATCTGCAGCGAGTAATATTTCTCTTCACTTTGAACAGTGCCTATAAATGATGATTCAGAGATATCAGTGACAGAGCTTTAGCGCCCTCTATTGCATCAAAGCGGCACTACAAGTAAGAGCATTTATCAGCTGATACAGGTAAAAATCAAGTTCATGTGAAATTGAAATAGAGATTCAAATATTGTATAATAAAATACCTAAAACATCTAAAAGCAGGCTATACCTGTTGAGTCTCATCAGCTAAGCAGAGCAGAACCTGGTTAGTGGTGTAATGGGAGACAGTGGTCAAGAGATGATTGGGTCTCTAAAGTTACAAACCGTTGTTGGACTGAACCAGGACTGAGCCAGGACTGAATCAGGTCAAAAGTTATTGGTCGTTGGTGGTTTGAAAGATAGGTTCCCAGCTTAAGCGCCGTACCTGTCTGTAGGAGCTGATGATGGCCTCTCTCAGGTGGTAGTGCATCGGAGTCATGGTTTCACTGACGGAGTCCAGGGCCATGTCCACCTCACGCTTCATCCTGTGTCCATCTGGGAGGAGACGCACCACCTCCAGCACCACCTGCAGGAGAACCATGAGAGCCTTAATCAACCACTAAACCAGGTCTGAACCAGGTCTAAAGCAGGTCTGAACCATGTCTAATCAAGGACTAAAACTCCTGCAAAACCATCAAGGGAGAACTTCCCTAGTGGGCTACATTAAGCTAGCAGGTTAGCATTGTCCATCTGTATACACTCCATGGTTTGTAATAACAAAAAATAAATACATATCAACACCTCCCTCTAGTGGCAGCATAAAGTAATACAAAATATTGATAAAGATGTATTCTTCAAAGCAATTTAGAACAATTTCTGCTAAGAATTCACACCTCACAATACATAAACACACGTGGGACACGTGGGAGAAGTTGAAGAAAAGCTCTATCTCTACACTTTTCTCTGTCTTAGCGAGACAGAAGAAAAAGCAGATGGATTGGCAGAAGAGTCTGAGTTTCCGTGGGATACTCGTTACCCTGGCAACAAACTGGTGATTGGCAGGTTGTATCGTATTTTATTTCTCTCACCATGGAGCGAAACAGCAGGAACCCGACTCTGAGTCTTTGTCACAACAGTAGAAGCATAAAAATTCAGCGAGCACAAAGACTGAAGGAGGTTTTTGGCTTCAGTTTGAAGCAGATGCATGTGGAGAGTTTTATAAAGTGTTGAAAAGTGAAATGAATGTGTTTGAAGTCTCCTCTTGGACTGGGTTTGCAAGCTACGGTAGAATGGCACCATGGAAAATACAGCACATACGACTGATGTTGGTGAGATTCATAAATATTACGTCAAAATTACATTTGAACCAAAAGATTTAACTAGTGTAAGGTAGCTATGGTCAAAAACACATATGAGAGGGAGAGACAAGAGAGAGACTAGAGAGAGACCTGAGAGACCAGAGAGAGACAAGAGAGAGACCAGAGAGACCAAAGAGAGACTAGAGAGAGACAAGAGAGAGACCAGAGAGAGACTAGAGAGAGACCAGAGAGAGACCAGAGATAGAGACCAGAGAGAGACTAGAGAGAGACAAGAGAGCGACAAGAGAGAGACCAGAGAGAACAGGGAGAAAGACCACAGAGAAATCAAAGAGAGAGACCCAAGAGAGAGAGAGAGAGACCAGACAGAGACCAGGGAGAGATTGGAGAGGATATGAAAGCATAGATCATACCTCAAACTCTCCTTTTGTGTACTTGGCATCAGGAACACTCACAATATCGTCGTCTGTAATTTCTGGAAAACCCTGACAACACAAACAACATATTTGTATTATACAAAAGTGCTATAAACCCACATGTAACAATAGACCAAAGCCAGATAGATTTTTTTTGTCTTTTCTCACATTAAAATTCCAGAGCGTGAGGACGGCGATGACCGAAGCCGTTGTTGTTCGTCCTTTCCCATTCGAACAGTTAAAAACAAAAGCAGAGTGGGAATCTTCAGCCAGAGCACTTTTTATGGACTCCAGAAGCTTGTCAAAGTCCTGCACAAAACAGAAAACACACTGAATATCTAGAACAAATTTGAAATGGTAATAGTAGCAGTAACAGTAGAAGTAGTAGTAGTAGTAGTAGTAGTAGTAGTAGTAGTAGTAGTAGTAGTAGTAGTGGTGTGGTAATTTAACCACTAGAGGGCCTCCTTAGACTTCATTTGCATCCTCAGTACTGTATATCCTTTCACCTCTTCTCTATGGTCTCTGATCTTGTCTCTCTCTGCTCTTTCTGGTCTCTCTCTTGTATCTATCTGGTCTCTCTCTCTCTTGTCTCTCTGCTCTCTCTCTCTCTCTCTCTGTCTACTCTTTGCTCTCTCTCTCTCTGCGCTCTCTCTGGTCTCTCTCTTGTCTCTCTTTGGTCTCTCTCTGTTCTCTCTCTCTGTCTGCTCTCTCTCTGCTCGCTCTCTGGTCTCTCTCTGGTCTCTCTCTGGTCTCTCTCTGGTCTCTCTCTGGTCTCTCTCTGGTCTCTCTCTGCTCTCTCTCTGCTCTCTCTCTGCTCTCTCTCTGCGCTCTCTCTGCGCTCTCTCTGGTCTCTCTCTGGTCTCTCTCTGCTCTCTCTCTCTGCTCTCTCTCTGCGCTCTCTCTGGTCTCTCTCTGGTCTCTCTCTGGTCTCTCTCTGGTCTCTCTCTGGTCTCTCTCTGCTCTCTCTCTGCGCTCTCTCTGGTCTCTCTCTGGTCTCTCACCTCCTCTCTGGGAGCACTGTATTCCGGCAGTGGGATCCGCCTGTAAACCAGTCCCGCGTGTGAATCTTTGTGCTCGGTGAAAATCTCGTCGATGCTTCTGACGCTTTTGAACATCTTCATCTGTTTGTCCTGCTCCATCATCACCTCCAGCCACTTCTGACACGACAAGATCTCCTCCTTCAGGGAACTCTCCAACCTCTGAGTAGACAGAGAAATCAGCAGTAATGTAAGTTTAAAGCTTCGGTGCTGTATGTAAGTTATAAACCACAAAAATAGGCAATTGTAATAACATCTCACTCTCAAAACAGTTTCTTCTGTCACTAGTTTTCATGGGTTTTTAGTCTCATAATTTATGCAGTAGCAAGTACCGGAATGACTTGTGGGCCACTAGTAGTACCTGGTCCTCTCTGCTCTCTCTCTCCAGGTCTCTCTCTCTCTGGTCTCTCTGTGGTCTCTCTCTCTGGACTCTGGTCTCTCTCTGTGCTCAGTAGCAGTACCAGGGCCTTTCTGAGTGGAGTTTGCATGTTCTCCCCGTGTCTGCGTAGGTTTCCTCCGGGTACTCCGGTTTCCCCTACCACTAAAAATGTGTCCAATAGTTCTAGCATGCGCCTCCTGTACTGGCGACCCCGCTCCCATCTTTGTGTGGAGTGAGAGACAAATGCCCAAAAATTAACAATTGTAAACCGCTTTGAGACTCAGATCTGCAGTGAAAAGGCGGTATATAAATAAAGATTACTTACTTACTTACTACTTACTGTATGTCTTGTGGGTCAGTATCAGTACCTGTATGTCTCTGGTCTCAGTCTCAGTACCTGTAGGTCTCTGGTCTCAGTATCAGTACCTCTATGTATCTGGTCTCAGTATCAGTACCTCTATGTCTCTGGTCTCAGTATCAGTACCTCTATGTCTCTGGTCTCAGTATCAGTACCTCTATGTCTCTAGTCTCAGTATCAGTACCTCTATGTCTCTGGTCTCAGTATCAGTACCTGTAGGTCTCTGGTCTCAGTATCAGTCCTTGTATGTCTCTGGTCTCAGTATCAGTACCTGTATGTCTCTGGTCTCAGTATCAGTACCTCTATGTCTCTGGTCTCAGTATCAGTACCTCTATGTCTCTGGTCTCAGTCTCAGTACCTGTATGTCTCTGGTCTCAGTCTCAGTACCTCTATGTCTCTGGTCTCAGTATCAGTACCTCTATGTCTCTGGTCTCAGTCTCAGTACCTGTAGGTCTCTGGTCTCAGTATCAGTACCTCTATGTCTCTGGTCTCAGTATCAGTACCTCTATGTCTCTGGTCTCAGTATCAGTACCTGTATGTCTCTGGTCTCAGTATCAGTACCTGTATGTCTCTGGTCTCAGTATCAGTACCTGTATGTCTCGTGGGTCGGTCGTGGGCAGGGGCAGCCTCAGTTCGGGGTTAGCCGCCTCTCTGACAGTGTAGATGTGAGAGTTGGCTTCCAGCACCAACTCCTCCTGCAGATTCACCCACAGAATGTGTCTGTGTCGGCGCTTCTGGTCTGTGAGGAGGGACAGGACGGACGCCGAGGCCTGGACCAGACGGGAAGAATGTGGGTCAGTCAGTGGAGACCAGAGAGAGACAAAAGAGAGACTAAAGAGAAAGAGCAGAGAGAGACCAAAACGAGACAAGAGAGACACTAGAGATCAGAAAGAGAGAGAGAGAGAGAGGGGGGGGAGAAAAAAAGAAAAAAGAGAGAGCCCAATGAGAGAATAGAGGGACACAAGAGAGAGACCATAGAGTGAACAAAGAGAAACTAGAGAGAGACCAGGGAAAAACACAAGAGAGAGAGACAAGAGAGATCAGAGAGAGGAGGTGAGGGACTAGAGAGAGAGAGGATTTAATACTGTTTACTTTGAATAATCAATGTGGCACATTTGACACTAATCTTCTCGGTGGGGGCAGAGCACAGACCTGCGTGTTCGGCTGTGACATGCCGTAGATGGGCATCTTGGGGACTCGTCTGAAGTTTGCGGCTTTCATTTCCTTCAATGTGCTGAGAAGATCTGGGGCTATGACCTCATCCGAGACCTGCGAGAGACAGAGGTCAGGGGTATCAGCAGAAATAACCGCTGGCGTCCTCACAGATAACTCCACATCCTCCTCCGCCAAAGTCATAAACATTAAAGTCTGTGGTGAATGTTACGCAGAAAGTGTGAAGTTGTGACTAAAATGTGGCTTCTGTTATCAGTGTTGAGTGTGTGACCTGGAAGTGTTGCTTCGCAGACGAGATCATTTAGAGAGACTAGAGGCTAGAGAGAGAGCAGAGAGAGAGACTAGAGAGAGAGCAGAGTAAGAGACTAGAGAAAGAGACCAGAGAGAGCGACTAGAAGGAGAACAGAGAGACCCGAAAGAGACTAGTGAGAGAAACAAGAGAGAGACGAGAGATTTCCCAGTTTTTGTTATAAACCCCTTACGAGAAAAATTACACAAATAATTGAGTATTTTGCAAGTTCTCACCAGGACTCTCGCTCCTTTCGTGACCAGCTCCGGAGAAACCGTCAGCTCAGACAAGTTCATGTTGGACAAAAGTCTGTAGATCCAGGAGTGAGAGCACATCCACTGACTGAAGGAGCTCATGAAGCCCACGGGAAACTGCACAAAAATCATCAGAATAATAATAATAATAAGGGAAAGGCTGATAAATATGCCATAAAAGCACTTGCTCTCTTCACCTGTTCGTGGAGATACGCGTTGAAGACGATCAAGTAAAAGTATTTCTCCAGACTTTGCATTGTGCGCTTGAGGAAGTAGTCTTTAGTGCTGCTTCCCTGGAATCACAGGCAAGGCAGGTTTATTTGTATAGCACAGCTCAGACAAAAGGTAATTACAAGTGCTTAAAAAACATCCTGGATTTGAACATTGTCCAAGAATAGGTCTGTCTCATATTTTCAGGAAGACAGGAAGGTTTTAGCAGCATAAATCTGAAACGCTGCTTCTCCATGTTTAGTCCGGACTCTGGGCACCAGCAGGATGCCAGTCCCTGTGCTCCTTTAAATGTTTATGTCACTACTCACATTGTAGGCTTAAAAATCTGTGGGTTTGATCCTGGTTTGGAAAGATTCAGGTGTTTTTATTTTGATGTCTAAATCCAGATATGAGCCCAAACAACTGACCAATCAGAAGCCTTCTACCCTTTAATTCAAGCCAGAACAGCTCCTGATTGGCTCTTTGGTTGCTAGGTAGTTACCATCTGCAAACACTCCTACTCAGTCTCACCTGGATCTGGTAGTCCTCCCCGATGCCCTCCAGTTTGCTTTTGTTCTCGTAAATCGCTTCTTTGATATTGTGCATTTCTGAGCACAGGCTGATCGCGTGGTCCACCTGCAGAAGAGAGAGAAAACATATTAGCATCAACACAGAGAGGTCTAGGGAGAGGTTCATGAATGTAAACAGGTCAGATTGAAGACAGACAGGGGGTCTTTGCAGGTGGTGGATAGACCAGAGAGAGACTAGAGAGAAGAAACCAGAGAAAGAGACCAGAGAGAGAGACCAGAGAGGGAGGACAGCAAGAGGACAGAGAGAGAGACAACAGACACCGGAGAAAGACTAGAGAGCGCAGATAGAGAGACCAGAGAGGGAAACCAGAGAAAGAGACATGAGAGGGAGGACAGATAGACAAGAGAGACCAGAGAAAGACTAGAGAGAGAAGTGAGCGAGACCAGAGAAAGGTCAGAGAGATAGACCAGAGTTTGAGTCTCTCCAGATTCAAATAGCAAGCAGCGGATTGTAAATGGCATTCCATATTTGTACATAGTAAACAGTTCTGAAGTCTGCGTGTGTCGTCTCCGCGCTTCAGACCAGTCTCTGTCTCTATGTGCCTCCTGTATCTCTCTCTGTGTCTCCTGTCTCTGTCTCTCTCTGTGTCTCTCTGTGTCTCCTGTGTCTTTGTCTTTCTCTGTGTTTCTGTCTCTCTCTGTCTCTCCTGTGTCTCTGTCTCTCTCTGTGTCTCCTGTGTCTCTGTCTCTGTCTCACCTGTGTCTGTCTCTCTGTGTCTCTGTCTCTCTCTGTGTCTCCTGTGTCTCTGTCTCTCTCTGTGTCTCTGTGTCTCTGTCTCTGTCTCTCCTGTGTCTCTGTGTCCCGTACCTGGTGCAGCAGCTGTTGTCCGTTGGGCAGTTTGTTGATGAGCGTCTGAATGACTTGAAAAAGTGGTTTGTTCTCTGAGGCTCCGTTTGTCCCCACTCTGTCAACACAACACAACACAACACTACTCAGTACAATACAACACTATACAACACATCACAACACTATCAAACACTATTCAGCAAACCATCAACACACAAAACATACCTAAATACTGCATGACCCCAAATACGTGAACATAAAGTAAATTTAAAGAGTTAAAACAGAGAATGATTGATATAGTAATCGTTCCGGATTGAGGAGCCACCAGGTGCAGAGACAGGGGAAGGATGTCACTGGATAAATCACAACACAACAGCATTATGGAACACAATACAGACCTTCAGGGGATTGGATAATTACAGTGAGGAAACAAGACAATTGTGTTTAGAGAAGGAGCTGCAGATTTTGTGACAGCTCACACACACACACATCTATAGAAAAACAGCTCACACACACACACATCTATAGAAAAACAGCTCACACACACACACATCTATATAAAAACAGCTCATACACACACACATCTATTGCAGCCAATTTGAGATGAGATAAACATGAGAAACTCTGAATCAATCTGGAGGAAAATATATGTGGTTTAGCTCGTGTGAACCCTTAGACATCATATATATTGAACTTTAGGCCCTAACAGGTCCCCCCTACTGTCTGAATGCTCCTATATCAAAGTGTGCTTTGACCATAGAGTGTATACTAGAAGTGGACTGACCAAGTGTGACATCATCATACTGTTAGCAAAATGCAGAAGAGGCCGATTAGAACAAAAGCTATCTGGAGGAACACCGGGATCACAGAGTCTCTCTCTCTCTGCTCTCTCTGAGGCCAGACCGTCTCTCGCTCTGGCCTCTCTCGAGTCTCTCTCTCTTGTCTCTCTCGCTCTAGTCTCTCCTCTTGTCGCTCTCTTTCTGAGTTGAGGTGAGCGTGACGCAAACGGTTACTGATCTCTTACTAGCCAGAGAGAGATGGAGCAAAACGTCATCCATTGGCACTTCCCTATTGGCTTCATTGAGCTAGCAGGTTAGCATTGTCCATCAATAAAAAGTCGATGGCTTTGACAGAGCTGTAGAAAGTTTGTTGTGAGCTGCGTTGGTTCTTGTGGCTTGTGTTTCCCGTGGGTGAAGTTCAAAGACCTAGATCTGCTCTGGTTTGGACTCTCTCAGACCTGGACCATGGACTCTCTCAGACCTAGACCACTCTGGTTTGGACTCTCTCAGACCTGGACCTGCTCTGGTTTGGACTCACTCGGTGTCGGTGGAGTCTGCGGTGAGTCGGTCCATGAGCAGAGTCCCAAGGATCAGGCCCAGGTTTGTGCGTCCCACTCCGACCTGACAGCTGCAGAGGAGGGCGGGGAGAGGACCGTCGCCCCGGGAGAGGAGGGACAGGCTGGGACTCTCCTGGTCACCAACACACAGTAAAAGAGGATTTCATACAAGTAATTCAATAGAAATAAAATACATATAGAGATAGAGGACCACAAATGTACACAAGCTGAGCAATTACCCTTCCAAAACTAAAAAAGTGTTCTAGGAGTTCTTAAGTTCTTAAATTGGACTAAGACCTGGATCTACAGCCTCACAATCACTGTGGGGAATTTAAAATTGTATTGTATTAAGTCTTGCAAGAACAGCAGCAGATAATGTGTAATTTTAGAAAGTAAAATAAATCCTGAGTGAGTTTGAAGTGAGACAGAACCCAGGACATGAGCCGACGGCGAGTTTGTCAGACAATACACGATAAATGATCAACGGTGAAGTAATAATACCTCTTTAATATAATCAAAGTGACAGTTTAGAGACAGGATCCAGATATGGAGAGGAAAATCTCTCTCTTGGCTCTCTCTGATTTCTCTCTGGTCTCTCTCTGGTCTCTCTCTCGGTCTCTCTCTGGGCTCTTTCAGGTCTCTTTCTGGTCACTCGCTATGCTTTCCCTCTCAGGTCCTTCTTTGCTCTCTCTTTGGTCTCTCTATCTTGTAAATCACCCGACATGAAAAACTTAGAATTTATGAGCCTTGATACTAAAGCCTATCGACATTCATAAATTGCAAATATTTATACTTCTTACCCTAATTATATTCACAAAAGCGTCAAAGTCTTCCTCCAATGGTGCTCCCTCGCTGGGCAGAGGTAATCTGTAGTACCTGCACATAAATAAGAACACGCAAATAATTTCACAAATAATTAAACTTTTTGTGGTCGAGAATATGGCTACGGAATAAGGCTCAGTAATGTCCCCCTTGTCTGTCTTTCTGTTCCCATATTTCTTCCCATATTTATAACTTTTATTTTCTGGGACTGACTCTGGAGCAAAGCAGCAACAAAACACAATGTAAACAATGTATCTTCACAGAGAACGAGGGCAACATCTGCTACTTATACTGCTGCTGCTGCTGCTGCTGCTGCTGAGACTCAGACACAGACCTGTACTTGGGCATGGTGAACAGCGGCCTCTTGTACACCTCCTCCGTCACGTGGATGTCCTCCTCACACGAGATCGACATCTTCTGAGGCTCGTCTCGGAAAAACTCGATGTCGTTGTAAACATAGAACACGTTTTCGTTCAGTTTGGCGAAGTCGTAGAGCTGCGACAAAAAACAGCCTAAAGTTACAACTCTTAACAACAGTTTTATGAGTCCTCTCTCTGCCAGAGGAGAGAAAGAACTGAATGTTCCCTGTGTTTGTGGAGAGGTATGAAATAACAAAGCATGGAATGGATAAATCAGACAGAAAAGGGATTCTAAGATAGCTACAGCTGGGGGACCTAACTTTTTGGTTTAATAAATACATGTTTTGGTGTCTGTAACGAATGTTAATGTTATATTTTGCATACTAGTAAAAGAGCCCTGTGAGTTTGGTTCAAAGTCAGGTACCCCAGCTTTAATAGTGGTTTTTCCAGCGCACCTCTTTTCGTACGGTGATTTCCAGTCTCTCGGCCGCCTCCTCTCTCTGAAGGCCGTGCAGGTTCTCGTGGAGGTTCTCCTTCTTCCTCGGAGTGTAGGGCACAAAGTCCTGGTCTTTGTGGAGGAACAGGACCGGTTCTTCTCTCAGACACAGAAAAATTACCTCCTGTTTGAAAAAAATATCTTCAAATGGTCAAATCAATAATGATGAAGATGAAAGAAAGTACTTCTATCTAATTCATAGTGATCATCTGTGGCATTGTTATGGTTAGTATTCATAAATTGAAAAAATATACTATTATTATATTATTATTTCTCTGGTCTCTCTCTCTGATGTCTCTTTCTGGTCTCTCTCTCTGATGTCTCTTTCTGGTCTCTCTCTGGTCTCTTTCTGGTCTTTCTCTGCTCTCCTTCTGTTCTCGTTCTCATCTCTCTCTGGTAATGGCTTTGTATGTCTGTTTATCAAATGGAAAGATTGTACAAAATATCAGGGTGTGGATTTTAAGTAATTTTATACCTCAATGAAATCTTTTTTTTGCATTCCTGCTTTTTGGGAAACAGAGACAGGTCAAAGCAACGGTCTAGGGATGTAAAAAACTATGAATTTTCATGACCGACCACCGAGCCTCATTAACCGGTTGAAACCGGTTAACCGCGTAGTTTAAAATAGTCCACGTTCTTTGAAATAACAGCCATTTCGAGCCGCGTACTTTTCATAAGTGCAGCTCTGCGTTCTACTGGATCAGAGCCGAGACAGCGGCGCCCAAACCCGCAACAGCTCCGGCACCTTTGCGCACAGAGAACTGCTTTTTTAATCTTCCCATTCTGCTGTGCTGCGGGTTAATATACCAAAACTTTCTAGCAGCAAACGACGGCTCGTTCACATGGTCAGAGCAGCGAGTGACGAGCCGCGTCTCACAGGTCTTCACAAAAGTTTAAATACAAGTGATGTGTGTGGAGCTGATCCAGAGGACCATAAACACAAACATGCTCCATGTGGTTTGACTGGAGCCGTGTGTTTGCGCGAATCCTTTGGGCTCCGTGACACATAGGAGCGCGACAGACCGGTATGTGTGTGTGTGTGTTTATGTGTGTGTGTATGAAAGTGTGTATGTGTGTGTGTAAATGTAAGCTCCAATGTAGTTCTGACCCGCGCCAGTGTGCAACTTTGACGGTAACAGAGGGGAGAGATGATGCGTGTGGATGTTACGTATGGAGAGGGGTAAAGTGTGTGTGTGGGTGTGTGTGTGGGTGTGTGTGCGCGCGCGTGCGTGAGAGTCGTCCCGGAGTTTATAATACATGGGCGCACACAGCTAGATACAGACCCGCTCGTCACACCGTGCAAATAGGGCTTAAAATAGCGTTATTAAAAGACCTCCCCTCTCCCCGTTTTCTCTTTTTTAACCGACAGCTTTGACCGCTTAACGCTGTGACGGTCAACCGCCGGTTAAACGGTCGCCGATTTACATCCCTACAACGGTCATTAGAATAATTAAATATTTAGCCTAAATTGCCCTGAGTTTAGTTTCCCATGTGTTTGTATTGTGTGGTTGTCGGGCCCCTCACCTCGTGCCCTTGAGCCTGGAGCCTCTGTAGCACCTGGGTGAACCCTCTCACACTGGGCTGTCCCATCCCGAACAGGGGGAAGGGCCCGCGCACTCGCCTGAAGTTTGGAGCCCCGAAACTGCTGCAAGTTTTGAGGACGTCTGCTTTAGGGAAGACGTCCTGCACCATGAAGCACTCGCCCTGGACACAAACAAACGGGATGAAAGGATTGAAAAAGTCCCTGTTTAAGACGAGACGGTTGACTTACTGATCAAGAGTATACAATTATTATTCATATAAGGAGAAACAGAGAGAGAGAGCAGAGAGAACAGAGAGAGAGAGACCAGAGAGACACCAGAGAGACACCAGAGAGAGCGAGATCAGAGAGAGACCAGAGAGACCAGAGAGAGAGACCAGAGAGACCAGAGAGAGACCAGAGAGAGAGACCAGAGAGAGACCAGAGAGAGCGGAGACAAGAGAGAAGACTTGAGAGAGAAAGACCGGAGAGAGACCAAAGAGAGAGGAGAGAGACCAGAGACCAGAGAGAGAGACCAAAGAGAGAGACCAAAAAGAAACCAGAGAGAGACCAGAAAGAGCAGAGAGAGCAGAGACTGACCAGAGAGAGATGAGAGCGAATCACATTATTGATCTAAATTAAATTTAAATCAAAATATCCTCATTCAGAACCCATTCTTCTCCCAGACTTGCCTTGTTCTTGCTCTAACTGTTTATTTGCTTTTTCTTGTATTTACTTTCGGGCTTAAATGCAACAGAAAAGCAGCTGTAGACGTGTCATAGATAAAATCATTTAGTCGTGTTCGCTGATAAACCCATTTCCTCTTTTGACAAGTGTCTTCCTGATAACACTAACGCTAATGGATACAGAGACCTGAGATCGCTGCCAAGTTCTGTCAGATTGTATTTTATTTGAGGCGAGATTTAGGAGGAAATGAGTTGTAAATGTTAAAGCACGAAGTCAAACATAAGTTGAAATTGATTGATTGAATATGGAAAATAAAAATATTATAGGGGTTTTAAAAATAGGGGTTTTCTAAAAGAAGTTTTGGATATTTTAAAATTAAATACAATATCTTACCTGTCTCTGGTCTCTCTCTGGTCTCTCTGGTCTCTCTCTGGTCTCTCTCTGGTCTCATATTTTCATACAACTTTACAAAGGAAAGAGAAGCTGTTGCTAGATCTCACCTGCACCAGGTAATGCTCCGGCATAGTGTCCGAGATCCGTCCCACTTTGTAGTTGGTTTTGAGGATTTCATCGTGAATCTGGAACTCTTGTCTGCAGTTATATCTGCGGGAGAGAGAACCACGTCCCACTTTAGACACATGTCGATTTAAGTTTATTAGAAGATTCTTCAATAGAACAAGTGTCTTTGCCTTCTCTCTTTTGTCTTTGGTCTCTTTCCATGTTCTGTCTCTGGTCTCTCTTTGGTCTCTCCCTAGTCTCTCTCTAGTCTCTTTCTCTGGTCTCTGTTTCTAGCCCCTCTCTCTTGTCTTTGGTCTCTGTCTGGGCTCTCTCTCTCTCTCTCTCACACATTCTGATATCTTTCACCAGAGAGACCAGAGAGAAATACCAAAAAGACCAGAGAAAAGAGAGACTAGAGAGGGACCAGAGACAAGAGACCTCAGCATCTCAGTCCTAAGTTATACCTGAAGCCATGAAATATCAAACACGTTTATCTCATCACACAAACTTCTTCAATTCAATTCAGTTCCAAAAGTAAATACATTTGCTTCCTCTTGTTCCTGCTTTTGCACCTCCGCAGCCAATCCAATTACAGCCTGTTGTTGACAGAGGGGAGATCTACAAATGAGCTGATAACAGGGGCAAACACAGGGAGACGTCTGGGGAGAGGGAGACTCGGCTGATCTACAAAAGCACCGGCAACTTTTGAGACTTTTTATCACTTTTATTTTTTGTATGAAAGTGATAAAAAGTGGTGATCTTACATTTTAGCGGAAACAACTGGGTTTTATACATGGAATTGGCAACTCAAATGAGAGACTCAGGTGAGGCTTATTCTGCTTTCTAATTGGGAAATCAATGTGAGAACAATTTATTTAGAAGCGTTCACAATCAATCCCAAGTGAAAAAAAACTGGACTTTAACTGGACCCATGAACAGGACTGGTTCATGGGTCTTTAGGTCCCACTTTAGATCTGGTTCAGTCTTGGTTTAAACCTGGTTCGGTCCTGGTTCAGACCTGGTTGAATCCTGGTCCAGTCCTGGTTCAGTCCTGGCTCAGTCCTGGTTCAGTCATGCTTCAGTCTTGCTTTAGTCCTGGTCCAGTCCTGTACTCACGTGATGACCACCGGAGCGACCTTGTTGGTGATGATGGACTTGGCTTTCCCGGAGTGGATGCTGACAGTGTGGAAGGGGGAGGAGCTTAGAGAGCGGCTGTCAGTCATGTCGGTGCTATGGCGACTGTCGCTAAGGGCCGAAGAAACGCTTTGTGGCGCTGCGCTGGCCGTCGTACCCATGCTCCACAAGCAGCTGCAGAAGGAGACCAGGAATCAGTCAGAAAAATACACTTTCATTCTCATGCTGCTTTTTAAATGTTTCCCTTTAAGTTACCACAAAAAAGTGGAAAGTTAAAGCCGGGGTACGTAACTTTCAAACTAAAAATAGAAAAAAAATGAACAACCCAAGACCCTCCCCTTAACCTAACTAGTGACTATATATTGGTTCTCTCTGGTTTCTCTCTCTCTGCTCTCTCTATGGTCTCTATCCCTGGACTTTCTCAGGTCTCTCTCTCTCTGGTCTTTCTCTGGTCTCTCACTCTGTTCTCTTTCTCGGGTCTCTCTCTGGTCTCTCTCTCTGATCTATCTAAGGTCAAGATCGAGTCTCTCTCTCTCTCTCTGGTCCGTCTCTGGTCTCTCTTTGGTCTCTCTCAGGTCAATTTTTAGTCTCTCTCTCTCTCTCTCTCTTTTTCTCTCTGGTTTGTCTCTGGTCTCTCTCTCTCTGGTCTTTCTCTGGTCTCTCACTCTGTTCTCTCACTCTGGTCTCTTTCTCTGGTCTCTCACTCTGGTCTCTCTCTGGTCTCTCTCTCTGGTCTCTCTCTCTGGTCTCTCTCTCTGGTCTCTCTCTCTGGTCTCTCATGTCCTTCCATTAGCCTCCAGCTGCTTCCACACACATCTGTGAATGAGATTTTGTTTGCTCTTGGAGATTAGACGTATTTAAGGCGGGAAAACCTGACATTGTCTCAAAACTCTGAGCGAAAACCCTTTGAGATTCATGTGTTCGATCGTGTATTTGATGAAGAGAGGACAAATTACAGACAGCGTTTTTCACACGTCTACGTTCTAATGATGTAGTTTCGTTCTAAATGGGTATTGGAGGGGGTTATAAGGGAACTGGCAAAAATGTCACGATTCTATAATATTGCGATATTTGGGCCACAACTCAATATTATTGTGATTCGTAACATATTGCGATACAGACATCCTAAAGTCACAACAAGCAGACATCCTAGAGTCACAACAAGCAGACATCCTAGAGTCACAACAAGCAGACATCCTAGAGTCACAACAAGCAGACATCCTAGAGTCACAACAAGCAGACATCCTAGAGTCACAACAAGCAGACATCCTAGAGTCACAACAAGCAGACATCCTAGAGTCACAACAAGCAGACATCCTAGAGTCACAACAAGCAGACATCATAGCGTCACAACAAGCAGACATCCTAGAGTCACAACAAGCAGACATCCTAGAGTCAAAACAAGCAGACATCATAGAGTCACAACAAGCAGACATCATAGAGTCACAACAAGCAGACATCCTAGAGTCAAAACAAGCAGACATCATTGTGTACCTGCCCCTTTATCATTCCTATTCATGTTTTGTTTGCAGTTTATTATTGATTGTAATTTTAGTTGCCGTCTGTAGTAGGCGCACTTGTCAAGTCCTTGGCCTGTGTCTGCTCATAGCTGGGATTTTGCTGCGGAGACACAATCTTAGTAAGGATACCAAACCTGCACGTTTAATAGCACACATTTAAGTTTAAACCAGAAATCCTATAAAAGACGAAACAAGAAATAATTCCTCTTTGTTCACAGCCAACGAGGTTAGTTCTTCACCTGTTGTTTTCTCTTTGTCTTTCTTTAGGTTGCACTGTGTTTTATGTGGATCTGTCGAAAATGAGACAAGAAGCGGATCTCTCTGGGATTGTGTCAAAGACAGAAGACATGTTTTAGTGACGTTAATACGACACAAAAAAGTTTCAGAGAATGCATGTGATATTATACAGGAAGAATCATGGACAGTCCTCTAAGCGTCTGCGCTTGTAGCTTCGACCTTCACATAACCAAAACATTCAAGTGGAAAACTTCAGCTCCTGCATAGAGTTCATGACAAGCTTGGGTTTAACCAAAATTGCTTCAAAAGTGTCATGAAATATCCACAGATCTATGCAACATGGAAGAAAACCACTTGTGTCTTGAGAACTCTGGGATTTACAGACATGATCGAGGAACATAAACCTCAGATGTAAATGACCAGAGAAAACACCAAAGTGAAACAGATAATTATTTAATAAAATATCGCAATACTTTTCTTTACTGTGTCGATTTAATTCTTGTGTGGGCAAAATATTGCAATACAGAACAGAATAGATTTTTTCCACAAGAATAAAAGTATAAATTGTCACATTAGTTTTATATGTACGGTTTTGGGGCCCCGCCTTTAAGCTAATACTGCTTCCTAGGAGTTCCCTTTCACAAAGCACTAACAAACCTTGTATGTGTTTGACTTGTTGAAGTTAAGTAAATAAAGATAATTGAATTGAATTGAAATGCTGAATGCAGGAAGAGGCCGATTTGAGCATGAGCTAGCTCCTTACGCAGCCATATAAAGCATTAAAAACATAGACAAACAGCCTAATGTACAGCCCAAAAACATACAAACATACAGCATCCTCCCATTACTCTATTACATAATTACAACATTCACTGTTATCCATGGATTGGTTTTTGGCTCAGATCTGGTCGTGTTGTGGTAGGATCAGAGCGAGCGTGGCTTTATTTACATCAGGCTCGTGTGGAGGGACACTCAGACCACACTTCCTCCTCCCCAGAGTAAACAGAGGGTTAGCGTTAGCATGTAGCAAATAAACAGTTCACGGCAGAGAGAGCAGGCTGCAGGAAAGATTGGATGGACTAAACTGGAAGAGGTACACATACGAAATACCAATAAATAGCAATAAAGCTAATTTATGAGCAATATTTGTGTATGTTTTGGGACTCAATTGCTATCATCTGTACATTGTAACTATGGAAATATAGAACTAATTTTCCCTGTAAAATGATAAAATTTTTATCTGTAGAAGAATCTCTGAACTCCCAAGTCTCTCTCTCTCTGGCCTCTCTGATCTCCCTGGTCTCTTTCTCTGGTCTCTCCCTGGTTTCTCTCTCTCTGGTCTCTCCCTGGTTTCCCTCTGATCTCCCTGGTCTCTCTCTCTCTGGTCCCTCTGGTCTCTCTGGTTTCTCCAGCCAATCACAGTCAGTTGGAACAATTTAGTGATCCAGTGGAGAGTAGAGTAGAGTAGAGTAAGGGTAGAGCAGAATAGAGTAGAATAGAGCAGAGTAGGGCTGGTGGAAATGGGGCTTCCCATTGTTTCACTGCATAACCTCTGGTCAAAAGTTTTGGGTAATGACAAATGAATGGAAGGTCTGACGCAGAGCTATTTCTAATATTCCCAGACTTGTTCAAAGTTGTCGAAAGTGATGATTTGAATGAGAAGACTTAATCCTGTGACCCTTAAAGTGGACATATCGTGTTTTGAAATAATTGATTTTTACATTTAAATCATTAATTTGTGGTCTATATGAAGCGTAACTGCAATGCCTGGGTCTGAGTCTCATTATTTGTAGCTCCACGGGCCTTTCTTCTACACCTGTTCTAAGGTGCGTCTGAGAGCAACCTGTTTTGGTGCTGTCTCTTTAAATGCAAATGAGGCGCTTTTGACCACGCCCCCATTCAGGTGACACAGGTTCAACTCCACCCCGAGCGGCCATTTTCGTAGTTTCTAAGCACAGATACAATTATCTCATAGAAACTTCTCATTACATCGCAAACATGAAGCAGGCCTTCCTCATTGACTGAAAGCAAATGTTAATTTTCATTCTTAGTCCAGTCTTATTATCAACTCTTTTTAGCTTTGGGATCCATGCGCACTTTCTATGATGCTCACACGCCGGTTTATTTACAATAATGTAGGTAGAGCTTTATTTAGGGCTTCGAGAGGAGAGGGGAGACGCGGACTGTTTCCTGCAGCAGTGTATTTATTGGGTGCACAGATTACTCAAAGACACGCATGGTCTTGTGCGCGTTTATGGGGTTGGGTACATGGTCAAGTTGAGGCTGCGCGCTCAGCCACAACACGGTGGAGCGGTGAGCCGCTCGCAGCCGCTGGACGCGGAAGCTGCTCAATACAAAGCGGCCGCAGATGCCCCGGAACACTGCGGCCGCTGAGGTGGCGGAATCCCGTTCGAGTTAGGGATGTAAAAAACTATGAATTTTCATGACCGACCACCGAGCCTCATTAACCGGTTGAAACCGGTTAACCGCGTAGTTTAAAATAGTCCACGTTCTTTGAAATAACAGCCATTTCGAGCCGCGTACTTTTCATAAGTGCTGCTCTGCGTTCTACTGGATCAGAGCCGAGACAGCGGCGCCCAAACCCGCAACAGCTCCGGCACCTTTGCGCACAGAGAACTGCTTTTTTAATCTTCCCATTCTGCTGTGCTGCGGGTTAATACCAAAACTTTCTAGCAGCAAACGACGGCTCGTTCACATGGTCAGAGCAGCGAGTGACGAGCCGCGTCTCACAGGTCTTCACAAAAGTTTAAATACAAGTGATGTGTGTGGAGCTGATCCCGAGGACCATAAACACAAACATGTTCCATGTGGTTTGACTGGAGCCGTGTATTTGCGCGAATCCTTTGGGCTCCGTGACACAGAGGAGCGCGACAGACCGGTATGTGTGTGTGTATGTGTGTGTGTATGTATGTGTGTATGTATATGTGTGTGTGTGTAAATGTAAGCTCCAATGTAGTTCTGACCCGCGCCAGTGTGCAACTTTGACGGTAACAGAGGGGAGAGATGATGCGTGTGGATGTTACGTATGGAGAGGGGGAAAGTGTGTGTGTGTGCGTGTGTGTGTGTGTGTGTGTGTGCGCGCGCGTGCGTGTGTGCATATGTGGCTCGTGCGGCGTGAGAGTCGTCCCGGAGTTTATAATACATTGGCGCACACAGCTAGATACAGACCCGCTCGTCACACCGTGCAAATAGAGACCTCCCCTCTCCCCTTTTTCTCTTTTTTAACCGACAGCTTTGACCGGTTAACGCTGTGACGGTCAACCACCGGTTAAACGGTCGCCGATTTACATCCCTAGTTCGAGTACATACAGCAGGTGCCCCGCGGATACGCGCGCCCCGCTTGAACAATTCTCAACGGATTTACACTTCTCATAAACATGTGTTTTGTATGAGGCAGACAGACCGGCCCAAATATGGGCATCGGCCCTTTGGGCATTGCCCGGTACGCCCGATGGCCAGTCCAGCCCTGTACATGTTCGCTGGCATCCTTGAGCTTGGACTACAAATTCGAAGTGATGCACAGTAGAAGAGGGCTGGGCCGAAGTGTTTTGTTAGACGCCCATACCCTTATATAGCAGTCTCGCTGCAAACACTGTGACGTAATAATTCTAAACACGTAATAGAGAATGGCAAAATCAGGACGGGTTGAAAAATCTTACCTAAACAGAATATGAAGTGTTCTCTATAACCCATGAAGAGACTGATTTCAACTTTTTTGCACTTCTAGAGGCTCCAACTTCACAACATAAGGCATTTAAGGCACAAAAAGTGGATTTTTCATGATATGTCCCCTTTAAACTGGTCGAGGTTGTATCTATGTAGATGTAAAGCCTGTTTTAAGATGAGCCAGACTGGTACAGTAGCATAATGTTTCCTTCTCTACAGCACATGGCGTAAACACCACTTGTAAACTGCTTCCTCTAGACCTCCGTAATAAACCAGAGAGAGTCTGTGATCTGGTCGGAGAGGCACTGGGTCACTCTCTCTCTGTGTCTGAAGTCCTGGTTTCAAAGTCCAGTCCGGTCTTTGGTCCTCAGAACAAAGCTGGGATTCAGACCAGACTTTGTAGCAGAGGTTTAAGTGCAGCAGGTCACAGGGACTTTGAACCAAACAACTGAGGAGGAGGTGGAGGAGGGGAGATTGAGAAACATGGGTGGCACGTTGACTGTACATTAGGAGTGGCCCCCTCCTTTGGTGTCCGAGGCGATTCCTGCGAGATCGCCGTCACCTTACATTGTGTGCACCATGTGCACTTGTATATTGTAAATAGTAACTGTAACTCTATTTTAAATTCAAATGTATTCTTTAGAAGTGTTTTTTATTCTTATTTTTATTATCTCTTTCTGACTGTTGCACTGAGCCAAAGCAATTTCCAAGTCTGTGACCTCCTGTTACTTACGTGGCAATAAAAATGATTCTGATTCTGATTCTGATGTGGTTGGGATGTGAGATTACAAAATATCTTGAAAACTACGCACAGGGGTACGCTGTGCGTAGAGGAGTCAACTGTGGTAACGGAGTCAACCCCGAATCCAGCGCAAACGCCAACACACAGATATACACATGCCTTTAACAGGTGACGGTTACTATGGCAACCTTGTAGTTTCCCCAATGAATGAAGGCATCTCATTGGTTAATCCTTATATCCGGGTTTACATTAAGACAACATGATAATATAAACAGCAGGATCACCCTTTATTTTCAGTCCTGCATTTTGGGTTCCTTTTCTCATTTCATCCTGTGACACTACTGTTGGTATTACTCTTGACTGTGAGCCTTGTACATAACAACTGCTGTGTGATATCAACAAGATCAACAAGATATTTAGTCAAACAAAAACTGTTCAAAAACCTAATGCTGCATGTGCTGTTCCCTGTAGCTCTTTCTGACTGTTTCTGACTGTGGCAGAACCAGCCGGAGGGAAACCCCGGGTCTAAAAGCATCCTTCACCCAGTGCCTTATAAGGAAACTGCCCAAAGTCAATGTTCAGGCTTCTATTTGACTCCTCACCGCGGATCGGAGCACCGGACCAGAGCCGAGTCCACGACCACAGACTGCACCAAATTACACGTTTTTCAAATGATAAAAATCCTGCAGACGCACAGGGTCACAGTCCCTTTGCTGCTCGAGATCCAAAGGTTCTGTCTTCTCCATTGATTTGATAAAATATTGGCAAATAAATACAAATAATACATGAAAGAATCAGGATTTCTTGTTTTGAGAGATACAGACATGGATATCCCTCTCTGATCTCTCTCTGGTCTCTCTCTCTCTCTCACTTTTTAGTTTACTGAAAACATTGTGATAAACAGACAAACCCTGGAGATAACATAGCCCTGTCCTTTTCTGGGCCTTAGAGATCAGACATAGAAAGGTGAATTTGACAAAAACACTGCAGAAAGAGAATGTTGTTTTAAAGTCGCTCCAAAAGTTGCTTGTGTTGCATATTACAGCTGCATAGAGCTCTGAACAGACAGAAATGGAATGTGATTATTCATTGTGAATAATCACATTTAGTCATTTTTGCCATTTTGAGGAACTCAAAAAGTTGTTCAGTGTTTAGTCAAAAAGTGTATTATCTATCAGCAAAGTTGCACAAAAAAAGCAAAAGCAAAAACTAGATGAAAAACAATGAGCAATAAGCAACAAATGCATCATCTCTGCTTCAAAACAACACAGCACGGGCTTACATTGGGTATAGCTGGTAACTTACAGCTTTGCAAACGCTATCCCACATTGCATTCCTCTGTAATCTTGTATCAAAAACAATAATAAAGATTCTTACGAGTGTAGAGACCCTTTCCTTTGCTGCTTGTGATCCGCCATGCTCCAAATACGAGTCGCGATTTGGCAGGATGTCCCGAAAAACAGTGGCTTTCAACCATTCAATACGCACAGGAAAGACTTAAGAGAACACTTCTTATATATACAGCAGTAGTAGAAGCAGTAGTAGCAGTAGTAGTAGTAGTAGTAGTAGTAGTAGTATTCTTTGCTCCCACGACAGCCTGTCTGATGCCGGCTCTGTTGTCCATAAAGTGTAACTCTCAGAGGGAAGAGCCAGCGTGACATCTGGAAGCCATACGGCCCAAGTCCTGCCCCAGAGGAGGGAGGGGGTGGGAAGAGGCTGGTTCTGGTGCTAGTTTAAAGCTCTGTCGTCTCTCTCTCTCTCTCTTGCTCTAGTCTTTTCCTGGTCTCTTTCTGGTTCTCTTTCTGGTCTCTCTCTTGTCTCTGTCTGTGGTCTCTCTCTGGTCCCTCGGTCTCTTTCTCTGGTCTCTCTGCTCTCTCTCTAGTCTCTCTCTAGTCTTTCTCTAGTCTTTCTCTGGTCTCTCTCTTTGCCTCTCTCTGGTCTCTCTCTGACTATAAACTATAAAACTATAAAAATGAATTTTATATAAAGGTATTTTTTTCTGGTTTCAAAGCTAGGTCCTCAACTCAACCTGTGTTCCGCTCGACGAGATGAAATTATAGATTGGGTCTACGAGAATAAGACAAGATTATTCCAAGATTGTAGTGCTGCACTTGGGGACTAGGTTCCTCAACATGTGCTGTTTGTTGTCTCTGTAAGAAAACACAGAAATCTATGGTATGTAACTGTTGTATCTTAAGAAGTTTTCTCTTTCTCTATATTAACTATAATCAGATCTAGTGTAAAAGTCTATAAGAAACTGTGAAAAACTTTCTTATTGGCCCAAGGCTCAATAATCTGTTTATATAATTACAGCCACAGAGACGGAGAGAGAGATGAGTTTTTGTTATGATTCAAAACATTCTAATATGGAGACAGACAAGCCGACGCTGCGCAGACGCTGCAAAGCAATTAGCAATAACGACCAGGCTCCTTATTTGAACTTTTAGAGCCAGCCAGTAGGGGGCAGCGGAACTTTATAACACGACACACGCGACCCTCAGCAGTCTAATCACTTCCTCAACAACATCCTCCTCAGGCCACTGCAAAGACGTGAAAGAACCAACATCAGTCTGCATTAAATAGCAGCAGCGAAAATGGACTGAAACTGAAACAAGAACGAACAAAGGAGTAGAATTCTCCTCCGTGTAGGGCTCGACGCACACTATTGAGTTGACCCGCCGCCATTGTTGTTTACGTTTGTTCTCTGCTACTGCACATGCCCAAATGTATTACGTGCAGGGAGATGGTGAGGTCATGGGAGGCGGAGAATTCACACCTTTTTCTTCACAGAGCTGTGAAACAGGTCCCGCTGAGCTGCGTATCAGGCTATTTCTCCACACTTGTTGAAGCAGGACTGAACTAGGGATGTACCGATCCAGATTTTTTGTAATCCGATCCGATTCCGATATTCTTAAATGTTGTTTTGCCGATACCGATCCGATACCGATCCGATACCGATCCGATACCGATCCGATAATTTTTTTTCAAATATTTTCAAAGCATTCAAGATTTTGCATTTTTACGTGAATAAATACATTTGTCGTGTCAGCTAACACACGTTAGCAGCCTTGTTTACAGTCACGGGGAATGAGGCTCGAGGAATATGTTCACAAGCAGTCTCCCCCATAGTTAGTCCTGGTTGAATCCTGGTTTAATTCTGGTTTAGTCCTGGTTCATCTCCTGTTTTGTGTCCCCATGACGGCTCTGTGCGGCCGCTCTCTGATAGCCGCACGGAGGAAAAAGTTCATCTCTTGCTTTTGCTGCATGCACCAGGTCTCTGTGTCCACTGCCTCTGCCACACCGCACATGCTATGCCTCACACGGACGTGCATAACCATTGACACGGCATTGAAAAACAATCTTTAGATCCATGTACGCTACGCATTGTGCGGTTGTTGTTTTTGCATTTCCCAGAAAGTTTTGCGATTCACGCTTGGCTGTGATAGGTCGAGAAGCCTATAACTACATCCCCCAGAATGCCGCGCGCCTCTGACTCGGCTTTACTTCTTGTGTTTTCGTCCTGTTTTGTCTAACGGAGTGATGTTAAACTAACATTCTATCGACCCCGTTTTCTATTGATATCGAACACTAGGGGTGTGACGATATATCAATTTTTCGATATATCGCAATACTTTCTCCCGCGATTCGATTATCGATATGCATTTGCCAAGTATCAATATCGATTTTGAAAATTATATATATATATATATATATATATAAAGTATTAATACTTAATATATGGCTACATTACGCATCTCCATTCCATTTATCATGAAATAAAGTGTATTTTTTCTTTTATTTATGCCATAAATTGGCATATTGTATATTTCTGACCAATATATCGATAAACGTCATATCGTGATATCGTTATCGTGATAATATTGTTATCGTGAGCTTTGTATCGTGTATCGATTTATATAAAGGCGGTATATAAATAAATAAAGATTACTACTATTACTACTGTCGTATCGTATCGTGAGGTACCCTTAGGTTCCCAGCCCTATCGAACACGTGTCTATCGCAAAATAAGATAAGAATTCCTTTATTCGTCCCACAGTGGGGAAATTTCGAATATATCTCGTTGTCGTTTTATCGCACAACCCTAGTTTTACATTGTATTTAGTTTACGGCAGCCGTAAAGCGTGAGCATGCTGAAAAGTGACGTAAATCGGCTTCATATTTAACAAATCCGATATTATCCGATCCTTACAAAATACCCATATCGGCCCCCGATACCGATACTGAATATCGGATCGGTACATCCCTAGACTGAACCAGGACTGAATAAGGACTGAACCAGGGATAAACCAGGACTGAACCAGGATTGAAGCAGGACTAAAGCAGGACTAAACCAGGACTAAAGCAGGTCTAACCCAGGTCTAACCCAGGACTGAATATGAAATAAACCAGGACTAAACCAGGACTGAGACATTGCAACAGGCTTGTTTTACATCTTGAATACAAATCCACCTCCACATTCTTATAAACTTGACCCAGATCTTTGGAACTACAGCCACACACTGCCCCAGCCTCCTCCCTTGGTCTCATTCAGCCTTCTCCCAATGCCTCGGCCTCATTCAGCTGCCTCACATTGACATTCAGGCCCTGTCCCTGTTCTCTCTGGTCCTTTTATAAAACTCTCCCGTTGCAGGAAGAGCCACAGCTGCAGGAAACGGGAGTAGAGCAGGAAGGATGCAGAGGAGAGACCCATAGAACACACAGATCTTACCACCACAGACCAGAGAGAAGCAGCGGACATGTGTCATAGATATAGGAAATGTATCAAATGTAAAGGATCAGCAAAGACTTGAAATAATGTGATCAAGAGTGATTTGACTGTGTGTGTCTGCGTGCGTGTGTGATACATGGTTTCTCTCTTGTCTCTCTGGGGTCTCTCTCTGGTCTCTCTCTGATCTCCCTGGTCTCTCTATGGTCTCTCTCTATGGTCTCTCTCACTGGTCTCTCTCTCTGGTCTCTCTCTCTGGTCTCTCTAGTCTCTCTCTTGTCTCTTTCTTTCTGGCACACAGACATAGTACTATCTCCTGGACCAGAATCCCTCTCAGACTCTCAGATTCTCAGACAGACAGTGGAGAGGACGCACACACAGCAGTCTGGTCCCAAACGTCTTGTTCGTTCAGTCTGAGCACATCTGCGCACGGCTCCCTCTTGGCGTGGCTCTCATCTCCTTCAAGCACCCGTCTCCATGGATCCCACTCGAGGATGGAGGGAAATTCAGAGCTCATAAAAGCACAGCAGGGTCCATGGCATTAGTGACGGCCATGACGGCGAGAGAGAGAACAAGTAAAGCTACGTATGGTATATGCGAGCTCTTGTTCCCATACAGATAAAATACATGTTTGTTTACTATAACAGACGATTTACTGTCTATGCTTCTGTCCATATATGTAAGGTACTTGTCAAATAGATTCAAGTCTCACCAACACCTACAATATGTGTTCTTAATCACCTCCTGCTGGTCAATTTAAAAAAAAGTTTGCCAAATTTGTTTTTTGCAGTAGTTTTTTGAGGGGTTATTTAGATATAGACAAATATATTGAGATGTATCGTCCAGCCCTAGCAGAGAGCTACTGTTTTTCCAACTAATAAAACTTTAGTCTATGTAAAAACTGCAGTAAAATGTGCCATATCACTGTATATTCTACATTAGTGAACAAGATGAAAAAAAATTTATAGTTAAATTAGATGCAATGACTCATTTTAGGATCATGAATCTTTTGGGGAGCTACCTGAAAAGACTTGGCGAGCTACTGGTATCTCCTGAGCCACATATTGGAGTCCACTGGATCATAAGGCTCTAGACCAGTGCGATTAACAACAGCTTACAGACCTAAACTGCAGAAACAAAAAACTGTCGAGCTGAAACTTCCATTTATTTTCTTCCGCTTTTCCCGTGTCTCAGAGGTAGCAGACATCAAGCCCAGACTTCCCTTTCCACACACACTTCCTTCTGCTTATCTGGGGGATCCTGTTAGGTCAGCCGACAGACACATGGTCCCTCCAGCCTTGACCTTCACCCTGCGCCTCCTCCTGATGGGTTATGGAAGCGTCCAGGAGGATTCCCAAACAGATGGACCCTCGACTTGCCCTCTGCTGGAGGCTGGAGATCCCCAACAAGTAAACAGCCTCATTATCGATTCAATGCCCAATAAAAACATGCAACAAGTTACTCTGTGGATCTCAAAACAGCCTTGTTTAGGAGCAGAGAGGACATGGTTTGGTTTTTAATGCAGTCCATTTTCTCATTACGTATAACTCTTTTATTAAAACCACAGCGTTTTATAGTTTATACAGAAAAATCTCAGAAGATTTAGAGAACAGGGAGTGATCGATAAATACCAAGTTACTTTTTTAAAGAAAAAAGATCCCCTCTGCCACCAGCCCTTGTCTATCGTGGAAA